ATTATTATTATTATTAAAGAATATCTATACCAAGCTAAAGTTCATGTAAACACAGACACACTGACAAATTCAAATTATTCCATAAAAATTGATCTGTTTTTATTATAATAAAACTGCTATTCTACAGTATATCCAACCTTAGGGAGACCAAAACCGTGACCTGCTGTACTAATGCGGTCTGGCATGAGACTGTAGTTATAGCCTTAATGTTAAAACAGCAAAAGGCAGTAATTTAATTTTATCTGTAAAGTACTTTTTAAGATTTTTCGTGAACCTTTCTTCAGACTCTTTAATCAAATAAAATTGGTGTGCTATTCCAACAATGTCAAATGAATGTAAGCATTTATGAAGAAAGCGCTGCATCTGGGCGTCGACAGATGGACAACCAATGCCAGTAAGAAGAGTCAATTTAATAAAAGCAAATTACCACCGAAAGGCTATTAAATAGAAGCATCGCAAAGTTAAAATTAGATGCACCGTACCTTAATAAACGTACTGTATAAGATACAAATTTGAGTCGTTCCGCTGTTTTCTTTGAACTCTTTACAGGGGTCGTGGCAAGACCGAATGCCTAAACTTCAGAGAGACACGCATAATATGATGGCGTCGTTTTCGAAACCTGTAGATTTCGTTTAATATTGATGTACTGCTTAGAGTTACCTAAGTAAGCGTGTGTACTGTAACTTCAGGGAGGAAGAAAGCGAAGCAGTCGCCTAGCCAATAGGCGGAAAGTGTTCACAGCGGCTGCCTAGCGCATCTGCTGAGAGTTACAGTACAATGTCACATTTAATGTCAGAAGTTGTAACTCGAATTTATTCCAAAATGGTGAGCTTTTTTCACTCTTACTGTTAAGTTACTTTTTATTGGAATATGTGTTTATAAGCAGTTATTAACATCAGGGCTTTTTGTATTAACTAAAATAGTAAATTAATACTGATTTCGCACTTGAAACTCAAAATAAAATGGCTCTTCCACAGAAAACACTTCAGACAAAACACATGCGGTTAGCATCGATGGATATTTATTTCAACTGTAATACACTCCAGAAAAAAATTGAAGAAAAATACAACTTTGTTCATATTATTTTCATTGGAACGTCTATACGTTTTCTTTAATTTGTAGACAGGTTTTGTCATTATTACTATACACTGTACAAGTACTACGAAATTAGAAACGAAGTACAGTACTGATGAAGCAGTACACATTCATTTTTTAAAATTTGGAATCACGTCTGTGCATCTTGAAATACATGTTAAAACACATGTAAGAAAGTTTTAAAAACCACATTAGACCAGTTACAGAAAAAAAAAACGAAAGTAATAAATATATTACAAATCACCTACTATAAGTATATGACAAACATAAACACTAGTATCACAAACACCTGTACACACATACTGTAAATATTACTTATACAGGTTCAGAAGTGCTTAACAGTTCCCATCTGTCATAACTGTCAATTAAAACTATATCTGTGCTACAACTACAGGATTAGGCTCAAGAAACCTATAAGATCATCTTGAAGTTTAGACCTTTCACAGTTAGACTCAATCATGAGTGAAGATTTAAGCCCAAGCTGAGGGCCAGATAGTCAGATATACAGTTAGGTCACCATTTTGACCTGTGATCCCTGGTTTATAACTGAATGTCCCCCACACTGTCTTGAAAATATTTCTGGTAAGATAAGAATTGTTACAAACTAGAGGAGGGCATATGGCACATTTAGCATGTTTCATCTTTACATGAATCAACTATACAAGGGTGAGAGGCGATCAGGTAGAAAATTGATCTAAGGTTCTCATCCTCCCATTTCTTTAAAAAGAAGTATCACTTTCAAGGCTGAGTAGTTTAAGCAAAGGAGGATAATAAACAGAATTCACAGAATTACTGTACAGAGCAAACCTAAACTGGGGGTGTCCCTGCTGTTGATTCATCAGTAGTTGTATTGCTGAGTTCATACAGTACATTGATTTGGTCATACATTGATTTGGTGCCTATTTAGTAAAAAACAAAAGTGAGGATTTTTATGTTGACTTCTCACAGATCCAGCGCTGCTTTGTGCTACAGCTGTCAGCATACAGATTAGAGGATGTGATCTCCCCACAATATTGACTGCTACCAGTGTTATATACAGTAGTTGTCCATTTTGCCACAAGCTTCTGTAAAAAGAGAAATATTTGAGTTATTGCTTGATGTTTCATGTTATCTGTAAATTTGAAGGCATTTTGTCTCAAGTAACTTCATGGTGTTTATTTAACAGATGTTTAAAATCAATAATAAGAATTATGTTAGTAGTGAGGACCCTATGCAGAAAACCAGGGCTAACTCCAAAAGGCGTAGTCGAAAGAACAATTCAAGATCCGAAAGCCATAGGTAAACTAGCCAGTGCAAAAGTACAAATAACCAGAGGCGGAGATGTCATCCGTGAGGAAGCCGAGAGTCAAAACCAGAACGAGAGCAAAAGTACCAAAGCCAAAACCAGGAGACGTAGAACAAATCAGGGTCAGGAAGCCAAAAACCAAGTAGAAAATATCAATGAGACTGGGAATAGCTCTAGCCAGGAAAACCCTAATACTGAGCACCAGGAAGTGTGTGAGACAGCATTAAATAGGGTGGGGAAAGGGACTAATTGGGAACTGTGCTGGAATGTGAGGTGGAATGCAGATTACTCCAGGGAATCAATAAATGGTCATCCTTACACTTATATACCACTTTTGAATGGGGATTCCCCTCTAACACCAGCAATGTGTAGTCCCCACCTGGATGATGCGATGGCACCAGATATCAGTGGGGAGGGGCTAAGTGATGAAACCAGTTCATAGATGGGGATTATAAGGAGGCCAATATCGGTAAAGGCTAAGGGGAAATTTGACCAGGAAACTGGGGTAACACCCCTACTCTTTTTGAGAAATGCCCTGGGATTTTTAAGAACCATGGAGAGTCAGTTTTACATCTCAACCGGACAGCGCCTTTTTACAGTATAGTGTCTCAATCACTATATTGGAGCATTAGAACCCACAAGGAATGCAGGGCCTATGCACTAGTCCTACTAACACCTCTTCCAGCAGCAAGCTTAGCTTTTCCTGGAGGTCTCCCATCCAAAAACTGGCCAGACTCACGCATGCTTAAGGGTTTTCCAGTGGTGAGTTTCAGGAAGTGATCAAGTTCTCCTTCACACCTTTGCTCCCCTACTGTACTGTATGTGTAAATACTTCCTGGCTGCACACAGCTCTGTGGATCTTTTCTTTAACCCCTCCCTCCACCTCAACTGCATCTGTGCATCTGCCTCCCAGGTGCATTCCTTGAGGGGGGTTGTACAGTACTCATCTTCAGCCAGCACTGTCAACACCTCAGCCAGATGAGTCTATGCCAAAGCATTAAGTTTGGTATCCCTTTAAATTTATCTGCTAATTTAATCTTTATTAGAAGTTGTCTAATGAACTGAAAATTGTTACCATGTAAATGCAGTTACCTGTCCTCTACTAAATTCCCATTAATCCACTTCCACTGCCCTCCATGCTCCACTGTACTCAGTCCAATCCATGTGTCTCCAGAGATATAATTTTTCAAGAATGTCTGGAAAAACAAAATATTAATTCACCAAATAATAACGGCATACTACTTAGGCAGGGAAGGATGGTGAAAACTAAAATGCATAAACTGAAAAATGCACTTTCATTTATTTTCTCTAATGAAGACAGTGCCTTATCTGATGGCTGACAGATAATGTGTAGTATTTCTGATTTTTTTAGAACGTTTAGAAAACCTGTGAATTCAAAATAAATTACACAGACTAAGTATCTGTGTTGGTTTGAATTTGGTCAAATGTATACATTAACATAGGGCTAAAATTTCGTATAATATTGTAATACTACTAGTTTTACAAAGGTAGAATAATGCAGCTCAGAACATTCTAGTACAATTTTGCATGTCAGCTTTTTCTTTCTCTAGTCATCTTAAAGTGAAGACTGATTAATAAGATGAACTGTACCTCTTTACAAATCCCCTCCACAGTTCATTCCCCTCATTAGGGGGAGACACAGCAGTGAGCCTGGGTTGCTTCAAACACAGCACAGTAATTGAGGTTGGACATCTTGCTCTTTGGCATTTGCAGGTGAAAAGCACATTCCGTAGCTGAACATTTATTGTATACTGTTAATATCTCGGGAAAAAATATGAAAACTCCTTATGTTTGCCCACATGCTACATAAGGCTCATGCTCACAGGTGTTCTGCAAATTTTATTTTACAGAAGGGCTCAGGGTTCACAAAGGTGAACAAATCCATCACAATTCATATCTCGATTACATTTAGTCTAAATACTATGCAGTATGTGTTATGTCCAGCTTGTAAGCTTCCAGGAGCGTTTGTCTGATCTGACTGCACAAATCTAATGAAATACAGTTCATGCAGTATGTCCATTCCTGGCATAATTGGCATAGTTTGAAATCAACTATACAGGCATCTCTGGATTTGCAAAAAAATGAATTACGAAGCATGCCCATTTCTCAGTACATTTTCACAGTAATGAACACTTATAATGCACTTTAGTGCATAGTGTACTCTACAGTATGTCCAACCATATGATATTGTCACCTACTGTTTTTGAGTTTGCCAGTTTTAATTTATATAATTTACTTAATCTGGTTGAATTTATTCTTTATTTTTACATAAATTATTAAAGCTTTATTAAAGAAAATGTTACATGTCTGTTAAGTAAGTGTTGTTTAGTACTTCAAATATCCTAAATACTGTATAATGTAAACATCATTTGACATATGGAAAGAGATCTGTTAAGCTGGGCTTTAAATGTCAGTAATTACCATAAAATGAATACTGTTGTCATGGTAATGCTTCTGTACAGCACAAAACTAATTCTAAAAATTATTGTGTGATTTTACTGGGCTTCATTAAACCAAAGGAAGTTACATATAATCTTACTGGAATTCATTTTTGAGATAGGGATTTTTACTTTACATTTTTATGGAACAAATTATGTTCTTAAATAAGGAGATGCCAGTATTAAGCATTTAAGTTAACATTTTAAGAGAACAATAGTCTTGTGTCAGAGAATGAGAAATACACTGAACTGACAGTTGATGAAATGGTAATGCCTTTTCAGAGCAATTCTAACTTACATCTGAGATTTCTGAAACTGGTACAGTAAGTTGAAAATCTGATATTTTATATCACTAGGCTTATTGTGGGATCTGACCACACCTGGTTTCTGAATTACTATAGTTTAACATTCTCATACACCTCTTATATGTGGAAATACATAAAAAAGTGATGAACACGTTGTCAGAAATAGGCACTGTGCTGTGTGTGAAAATATTTTGTAATGTTCCAATGCATATGCAAATACTTAATGGCCACTAATCATGGTAATAACAGAGTGTGCCAGGAGCTGTCCCCTCATTCTAAAACATCCAGAAAAATGAAAGAGATACACTTTGTGTGTTTTCCTGGATGATCTTCAGGAAATGGCTTTTTCGTATCAAATTAAAATTAATTTTGAACTTTTGCTGAACTGCACTGTGATTTCTTGCATTATGGAACTGCCTAGGGACCCTCTACCACATCTTTCCCTATACATAGCATAACACATAGCTCTTACCAGTTCTTCTGAAGTCTTGACAACAGCAAGATTAGAGCCCTGCTGACTGCAGTGAGATTTAGCTCCATTCCAGTCTCTTATGTCTTGGGAAAAGTAGTAACATTTCCTGTTGAACATCTTCCAGTCACATGGACAGAACTTCACATGCTATAAGGAATAATAAGAGGCATCAATCACATTTCAGGTTTATGATTAAAGATCTATATTTGGCATAAGCTGCCATCAGGTGTATCATCTCTGTTTTACTTGAAATGAACTGAATTGCTTCATGTAATTAATGCATTACTACAGTACATGTGTCAATCAAGCACCAAACTGAATTCAAGCAAATCAGGGTGCTCAGATTTTAGTCCCTGAAGATCTCAATATTACGTTTAACAAGTAACATGCTTAATTGATCAAATTTAAATTGTGGAGTTGAACATCCCTGTTTCCTGACAACGATCTGGGAATGTGCTGCTCGGTTTGTGAGCTCTGCACTGCGGCTGGCTATTCACCTGCCGTTGGGTCCGTCTTCAGCTCCAGAGTACTGCACTAACTGTACTGTAACTGCAGCACATTACAATAACACAATACAATATGATTACAAGATTGGACTTTGTATAGTTAACATGATAGTAAATGACTAACCTCCTGTTTGAAGCTTTGACTCTATGTTGTTCAGCCTGGGCAATATCTGAGAATCTGTGAAAAAGACACATTGCACTGAAACTAAAGTCTGCAATTGGCAGATTAATAATCATTTATTACTTACCCATTTTACTCAGCAAAACAAAGTGAAAGAAAATAATTATACCAATTAAAAATCAGATATACAATAATAATCAACCAATTCTGGAGCAGTGCTATGCTGTGTATCTTACAATCTTATATTGTGTGGTTGCGTGAGTTTCCTCCAGGTGTTTTAGTTTCCTCCCACAGGCCAAAAACATATTGGCACTGTAGGTTATTGAATTGTCATCTATAAAAGCTCCATGCACATACTGTAGTGTCCAAGGTCTGGAATTGAACCCAGGCCCTAAGTGCTACAAGCCAGAGATGCTAACCACTGCACACCATGCCCCCCCCCCACGCTGGTGCACTGGATAGAAAATTCTGGTCTTGACGCAATTCTGCCCCCTACTAGTTAAGACGCGTAGGTTCCACCTCATTTCACTTCAGTTGTGAATACTGACCTTGCTGTTGGAACTGAGCAACTTCAGATTGTATGTTACTAAATTCCAAAGACATCTCAAAGTCTAAAAACAAACAAAAAACTGTAAAGGTAAGAAGACCAGGAAATGACATGAGTGTGTAATAATGACACAACAGCAACTGATGAGGGTCGTTACAAAATATGTAATAATTCTATTTATAACTTGTGATTCCAGAAGGATTGTGGCTGCCACTGTGGACCTGAACAGGCATTTTCATGTCAGTCACTCCAGCCCCTTTCAACCAGCTCCGGAACTCTTTCACTCTTGTTCCTAAATTCCAAACACTCTCCTCCAAGAGTGCTGATGAACTTGGCTCCCTCATTGGGACAACCAGGACACGTAGCACATGTACTGTACCCAGAGACCACTGGGCCTTGGCTCGTGGACTCTCAGGTCCAGAGCCTCCAAGCCGTCCACAGCACTGTCTCATTGATCTCCACCAAGATCCAGGTTGAGATCCCTCAGCTTGCAGAGCCCTTTCCTCACCCAGGATCCAAGTGCTGCATGCCAGTGATGCTAACCACCGCACCACCATGCTGGCTCTACTGATGCACTGGTTAGAAACTTCTGTTCCTGATGAAAGCCTGCCTCCTACCTGTTAAATCTGGCATGTTCCACCTTATTTCACTTCAGTTGTGAATGCTGACCTTGTTATTTGAGCTGAGCAATGTCAGATTTTACATTTCTGAATTCTAAACACATATTAGAGTCTGAAAACAAAAAATATACTGCAAAGGTAAGACCAAGAAATGACCACGAGTGAGTAGTAATGACACAACAGTAACTGATGAGGCTGAGTTCCAAATTTTAAAAAGAAATAATTAACTCAACAACTATACCAATATTCTTCTGTTAACTTCTGTTTCTTTCACTGTAGTTAAAAGTAACTGAGTTACACTGAGAGCTGTACAAAGACCATTTAAAAAATGTACTAGGTTGTAAGTGTAATGTTGAAAACCTAAAAAGACAGAAAAAACATAATGCATAGGATAAGATCTGTTATCATGCTTTTAATGTAGTGAGAACATGGAACATGCAAACAGAAATTTCTTAAATAAAAGGTGTTATCTGGAAGTGTAGATAATTACAAAAGGGACTTTGATGCTTTCATGGTTTCTCAAAGACAAAACATGTAAAAAAACAAATGAGAACACTAAGCAAGGACTACAGTATCTACTACAGCAAGAGTCTCTAGAGTTGCAAAGGAACAAGTAAAAGGTTTATTCCATGCTGAAAAAAAGAAGAAAGAAAACGAAACGTTGTGTTTTCTTTCTTCTTTTTTTCCAGCACGGAATAAACCTATTACTTGTTCCTTTGCAGCCTACGCATGCTGATGCAGCTACCCACCTGAACTACTACAGTCTCTAGAGTTGCATGTTGTATTGAACTAAGAACTGCAAAAGTATTTTTGCAAACATGATAAATTGTGACTTGAAAGCCCTAATATGGTACTGTCCCATAATCAGAGATAAGGAGATGCTTTTCCACAGCTTGCACTAAACTACGGCTTTTAATTCTGAGATGTTGTGAAACAGTAGGATGCCTAAGGAGAAATAGAAAAATATACCATGAATAAAACATCTGAAGACTAAAGGTAAATGGAGAGCCAAATAGAATGAGGACCAATAAGCTGAATAAGATGGAATTCAAATTCCAGATTCATTAATTGGAGAAGGATATTTTTAAAAATTAAAAGGATCATGATGCTGATGTACTAGTACTGTATGTATGGAAATGTATGTCTTATTATCATTATTTTGGTGATGATCAATCACATCATTATTATGCATGAAGACTATCTGAGATCAGAAGAAGCACAGACATTACAGCAATTGAGTTTTAAATGCACAGCAGTAACCAGAAACAGAAAATGCAGACCATTCAAATATCCCAATCAGTCAAATAGATGGAAATATGAAGGACTATTATTATTTTTGTATCTGATCACTCAAGCTCAATGAAGCTATTGTTGACCTTTTTACTTAAATTTTGTGATAATTGTTAGTCTCCCTAACTGCCAGGGAGAGATCAGCAATACTAAAAATAGTAGTACAGCATGTCCATGGCTCCATTCCACAATCAGAGCCACCCTCACAAAACACTACCCAAGAATACTCTTAATTAAAACAGGGTCCTAAACTATGCACACACAGGAGTCAGGCCTGGCTCTTGTTACACACATAGTTGCAAACCTGGGGTTTACCTTGGCTCCTCAAACCATCCTGTTCCTCTGTGAGCTCTTTGATAACTTGAAAACTAGAAATGCACAAACAGTCTAATTAATTCAGTTCTGAAAAGATTCGATATACAGTACAGTACAAAGTATAAAAATATTTTAACAGTAAACAGAAATTTACTACGATTTACTAAAACAGAGTCCTCATGTTTTCTGTAACTGCCTGTCTTCCTCGTGATGTACTACTCATCCTTTCACTATAGTTAACCACTTCTACAGCTATGGTAGCATATGAAAAAATACAGTGAGTAAATCAACATAGAATTAATGTATGATCAGACTGTACAAGTACAAGCATTTTAATATATAAAGCCTGTGAGGATAAAAGTAGTATGGCATTGTATTCTTCTTTAAGGAAAAGCATTCTACAACACCCTTCTTAATGGTTGCATGCATTTCTTTAACCTTTCTGTAATTTAGTAAACAATGTGAAATACCCAGACTCAGATTAAGGAAGATAGGAGATTTCTGATTATCTGATTCCCTGCGAAAAGCAAAAGCAGATTTTAGTGGAATAATCCAACTGTGTACCGTTCATCTCCCATAAGGAATATATCATTTTCAAGTGCTGAATCTCTGCATTCAGGGCTGAGTCTGAAAATGAGATGAAAGAGACCACAGTTTGGTTTATAATGACACTGTAGGTGATGATTACCTATGTTTACCTCTTCATTCATGGTATTTAAATAAACAATCTTTTTTTTACCAACAGTAAAGTACAGCCAATTCTCATATAAGCATGATTGCAATCGAAAGTACCAAACTAAACTTACTGAACAATTTTCAATAATAATAATAATAATAATAATAATAATAATAATAATAATATATCCAAACATGGAACTAGATTTCATGTCAGCTATTTGAGGGCCTATATGAATATTGATAACTGGAGCTGTTTATTTTAAGCTCACGCATTCTGATGATTGTGTCTTTAGTTTGTGGCTCACTACTGGGACTTGTGTGCTGCACAGATAGAATGAAGACAAAACATACGTGCTCCTCTGATCTTCCCACCCACTGAGCCTTTCAACTTTTTATTGGCTACAAGGACGACTGTGCCTTACAGGAGCATTAACACTAATTGGAGAAATGACAAGTCCTTAGCTGATGTCACTACAAGCCTGCAGTTGCCTGGGAAGTTGTTGTTTAGACAAAAGATGAAAGCCCCCTGGACATCTTATCGCACCACTGACCCCAGGAGTGCTTGGCCAATTGTATGCCACCAACTGGGTTAGACAATGTTTCTGGTTTACTTGTTTCAGATACTTACTTTGCATGAAGACTACTGTGACGAGCACAGTGTAGATGATAGAGGCAGGCACCAATAGAATGTTAAGAACAATGGCTTTGGTCCCGCAAACAACTGAATCTGGAAACCAGAGAATACAGAGATAACTGTGGATCCTAATGGCCAAGAATTGGGATTAGATGTATAATTTCACCCATGTGTGAATGCACTATGTAAGAACAGATTTAGGATCTCAATGTGGGTTTAACCATTCATTTATATAATGGATATAACTGTCTTCTTTGAATCATAATACTGTATGATCGCAGTGCATTCTATTCCTGAGCAAATCTAATTTCTACAGCGATTTAAGTTAACTTCTTTTGCATAATTTGTCTGGTTATTATGGCTGTAATTTGATAATATTTCATTGGTGTGTTATTCATTGTATATTTTTACCAGATAAAGAGTTTATCTTGACATACAGTATACTGTACAATTTAAAAATGAAAAGCATTAGTCAGCAAGTACAACATTTGGGCCTAGTTCATACACATTTTTCAAACAAAATAACACATTTAGTTGCAGTTCAACAACTGGAATTATTTCAGTTACATCGCATAGAGAATGTGAAAGATCATTCTGCTGATTGGCAAACCAATCAATCACAAACCAATGTGGTTACGGCTGTCTCTAGTCTTCGCTTGCTTTCTCACTTTCCTCCATACTCTATGACTTAGAGTAGAGTATTTACTGTAGCACTGTAGCTGTTGATATATTTTATTGTAAAACCTCTGCAGATTTTTACAGATTTATGACAAATTATGTACAGTAATTTTAGTTTATAAAATTACATTAATTATTGTTCATTTTAGAACAGTTTTATCAAGACTGTTTCTTACTACTGTATATTTGCTGAAATTGTAGTAGGAAGGAATAGAACATTTTACAACATCTAAAATCAGCAGACTCAAACTGTCAGTTTATTGCTCCTTTTAATGAGCTGCACTGGTGACTTTTTCAGCACAGTGCTCCATGACTGGAGTAAAGAGAAATTAAACAGAAACCAGTTTCTGGTTACTGAACTGGGGGACCA